CTTTGGAAGCACATAAAAATTTAATCTTTAGAAGGTCCCAGTCATCTGGTTTCTCTTCTGCTGTTTGTGCATTTTGAATTGTGTGTAATCTTTTTGTAATTGCTACTTGAAAGTTATTTCACTAGAAGTTATGGAGATCTTACCGTTTATTAAAGTTGTACACAGTAACACAGTTTTTTCCTTGAAAAAAACAAAGTTGAAAAAAATACTACTGATACTAAATATAATTAAAATACATTCGTTAATCATAAATTCATAATTTTAGTTTGTATATACTGACAAAAATATTTACAATTATTTAATCTATCAAAGAGGAGTCTTAATGGTATAAAACATCTCTTCTGTTAGGAGAAAATGTCACAGGCAAGACAAATCTGCCCAGAACGGATAGAAGTAAAAAAATCTGCATCGATTCTAGACAAAGAAATTAATCGATTAAGGCAAAAGATACAAGCAGAACATGCTAGTCATGGAGATCGAGAAGAAATAATGAGGTAAGTGGCTGGTTGTTGTTCTGCTTTATATTATCCATACATATTGTTGGCGCTCTGGTAGCGTAGTGCCTAAGGCACTTGACTGCTAACCAGAAGGCTGGTGGTTCAAACCCACCAGCCACTCCTCGGAAGGAAGGTTGGGCAATCTACTTCTACAGTGATACCGCCTCGGAAACCCAAGGAGGGGTCGCTAGGAGTCTGGTCCGACTCGACGGCACATAACAACATACATATTGTCAAAGCATAAAAATCTTAAATTTGGATCACAGACAGTTATAGTTGAACTTATCTTTTATATGTGTGCTATTAGCAATAAACAGTAATCTTTCTTTCCTCTGAAGTATTAGAAAACTCATTATGGACTGACATTTGAACATAAAGGCCGTTTTTATGTCTGTAAGATTCATATAGACGTGAAAATGTTCAGCTTCACAAGTAATCAAAGAAATAAAAATCAAAATGATTAGAAACCATTTTCAAATCCTTCACATTGAGTAAGGTGACAAATGCTAATAATATCAATGATATTTCAGTGAAATGCATGTGTGTTCTTATATTAATGGTTCACAGTGGAAGCCTTGGTAGCACAATACTGAAACGCTTGGCTGCTGACCAAAAAGCTTTGCAGTTCAAACCCATCTGCAGAAGGAAGACCTGGCAATCTGTTTCTGTAAAGATTACAGCCTAGAAAACCCTATGGGGCAGTTCTAATTTGTCACATGGGGTCACTCTGAGTCAAAAATCAATTCAGCAAACCTAACAATGACAACAAGTATAGTTAAAGTACAGGTTCTGACACTAGAGTGCCTGGGTTTGAATTCCAATCTTGCCATTACCTAGTTGAATGACTTTGCAAATGATCTAAAATCTGAACTAATTTGCTCATTTATCAGTGAATATCATTGTGGTTCATATCTGTTGAGTTACTGTGAAAATTAAATGAGATGATCTGTTGTAAACAGAATAAATAGTGAAAAAACAAACCATTTGCCATTGAGTTGATTGCAACTCATGGCAAACCAATGTGTATTAGAATAGAACTGCTCCCTAGAGTTCTGGGAAGTATGTTGCCAGGGCTTTCTTCTGAGGCCCCTGTGAGTAGACTTGAACCACCAACCTTTCCTTTAGCAGCTGAACATGTTAACTGTTTGTGCCACCCAGAGACTCCTAAATAGTAAACATATTATGTTAGTTATTGTATGTATTATTAAAATAGTCTTTCTAAAGACTATTTTATTAAAACATCTTTTTGAAAAATATTTAGTCCATAAATATATAAAAAAAAAAAAACCCTCAAAAATTTGGATTTGGCCAGATAATTGTGTTGTTATAACATAATCCAAAATGAGAGAAGCAATTTATGCTCCTAAATATTATTTCAGCATTATTTTTAATATATAAAAATTAAAAATAGTATATAGCAGTAACAGACTGATAAAGTTACAGTGAAAAATAATGCCTATTTTACACTGTGAAGGAATTCCAGTATTTAAAGAAAAGGCTGAAAATAGAAGTGATTTTAATTCTATTTTGAAAACTGAGGGAAGAAACATCAAAATACTAAAATTTCAAAATAGAAGTTGCCTTCATGGTGCAATGGCTAAACACTCAGCTGCTAACCAAATGGTTATTGGTTTTGACCCAACCAGGAAAGCCTATGCTACTACCCTGTCCTGTAGGTGCACTATGAATTGGAATTCACTCTTGGCGGGTAACAGCAACAATACATTGCAGGTTTTAAAAATACAACATGAAAAGACATCTCTCATCATCCCCACACCTTTCTTTTCTTTCCTTTTTTATCTTATTTTATTAATTTATTAAATATTCTTTCAGTGTTTCTATATGCTTGCAACATGATTATATGTTACCTTTCCTCTGTTCAGGTACAAAAAGTAGCACATTACATAAGCTGTATTAGAGATTGCTTTTTTAATGATAAAGTTTAGAGATCTGTTTATATCAGTACATAGGCATTGCCTCGTTATTTTTTATAGTTTTGTTATTGTTTTTAATTTTTCAATAGGAATTTCTTCTCCAATTGATGGGTAGTTGAGTTTTTATCTAATCTTTTGCTTTTGCAATGGTGGCACAAAATTAATGACTTTGAACATACAACGTTGTTTTATGTATGTGCAGGTATATGTATAGATAAACTCCATATTGCTAATCCTTCTTTCTAGGGATTCTTTTTTGTTTTGTTTTGTTTAATTCCCACAGAATTTGGGTGCTACAAGTTCTTGTTCACTTCCACCTCATACCTGGTTATCACCTGTTGTTTACCTGTCTATTCTTTGAGTTCATTTATTTCTGCATTGAGATATTCCTTCCTGGTAGCACTTGCCTCATGGTGTTTTGTTTTTGTTTTATAATTTATGGTATTTAATTATAGGTTTCATCTGTTTTGGGGGAACATTGTTCTAGTAAGTTTTCTTTGTCTAGGGGAAAATTTTGCTACTCTTTCACACCTCTTGTTTCATAAATCTCTCTGTATACATGCTATACTTAGCTTTTTTTGTTATTCATTTTTTAGTTAGTTGGTTTTCCCTGGACTGATTATTTGAACAAGGGTGTCAGAAGTAGCTGTGGGAAGCTTAACCATGGTTGCTTTTCATCCTTTGTTGCTCAGCATCATTCTTCCTTGCAAGAGAACAGCAATAGACTGTTGCGTTCCATATTAGCCCTTATGAGTAGCCATGTCTCCTCTGTCTCTTTGACCCACTCTTAGCAGGAAGCATTTTCTAGTGCTGACGCTGCATTCCCCTGTTCCCTTACTGGAATCTCATAAAGGGAAATATTTCTTGCCTGGTGGCGTAGTAGTTAAGCACTTGGCTACTGACCCAAAATTCAGTGGCTCGAACCCACCAGCTGCTTCATGGGAGAAAAGACTTAGTGATTTGCTCTTGAAGCAATTACAGCCTTGGAAACCCCTGTGGGATAGTTCTACTCTGTTCTATATGGTTACTTTTAGTTGAATTAACTTGATGGCAACAAGTTTGTTTATTTGTTTGCCAATATGATCACTTCACTTACAGATGTGTGTATTTGCCGATATGTGTATTTGCTGATATTCTCTAAGCTCTGCCATTGTTGGGCCCCAACTGAGCCCTTTCCTCACATACTGTCTTCTCCAGGGCTTGAACTGCCATCCTTCCTAGCCATACTAACAATTATTCTCATTCAGGATAGTGTTCTCTCATTCTGAGAGTGCACTTTGACTGGGAGATTTGTGGGATCTGCTGCTGCTAGACTCCCTCAGCCCACCACCACTCTGTTCACTCCTTGCTCTTCCCTTTTAAATATATTTGAGGTTTTTTCCTTTTTGTATGTTTCTTATGAATGACATTTATTTACTTATATTTTGTGTATAAAATAGGCAGTACCAAGAAGCAAGAGAAACCTATCTTGATCTGGAAAATAAAGTAAGGACTTTAAAAAGATTTACTAAATTACTGGATGAAATAATGATTAATAGATACGGAACATATCAACAGTTTAGGAGGTAAGTGACTTAAGAATGATAAATGTTTTACACGTTTTTGTATTTTCTTTGTTTTCATGTTATCCTTTATAAATAAAATTAAAGTGAAAGAGCCTACATGATATAATATAAAAGAAATTGTCAATGCTTGCTTTGTCAGCTAGTACTTAGTATACAGTAATCAGAGAATTCTGAATGTACAAGAGACTTTGTAATGAGCTTATCCAACTTTTCTGCTCTGTTAGATATTCTTTACTAAATAACTCAATAGATGGTTATTCAGTTTCTGCTTAAATAGATCCTTTGAATGGTAGCTGTTTGGTTTTAAAGCAGCCTGTTTCACTCTTGGACACTGTATCTTCTTAAAGGATACAAGTGCTCGGCAGGACCTGCTGAGGCAGTATATCATTTGATTTACCATGATTTCTTAAAAGGATATAGCTCCACAAATGTAGAAATACTGTTTTGTTTACTGCTGTATCTCTAGTGCCTAGAACTGTGCCTGAAATATAGTGAGAACTTGATATGTATTGGTTGAATGAAAGAATGCAGGATCAGGGTTACTGGATATTAGGAACATATGCAAAGATGGGCAGATTCACAGGGATAGATTACCCCTAAGTAAAATTACAAACAGAAGAAACAAGAGGACAGTTTCTAGGTAGAGGTGGCCCTTGATACCTTGATTTCAAGGCACCCCTAGTTCCTCCACTTTCTTCTATTTTTTCCCAGAGTCATTCACCCAGTAACATGCTCTTTAACTATCTCTTTCCAAGGGGGAAACCAAAACAACTAAACCCATTGCCCTCGAGTCAATTCTGACTCATAGCAACCGCTATAGGGTTTGTAAGGTGGTATATCTTTGCAGAAGTAGATTGCCCAGTCTTCCTTCTGTGGAGTAGCTGATAGGTTTGAACCTTCAACCTTCTGGTTAGCAGTCAAATGCCTTAGACACTGGTGCCACCAGAGCTCCTTCCCAAGATGGAAAGGCTATAGGAATATCCAGCTCTATCACATGTGGAGAAATTTAGCTAAAGCTATTAAGTAAAACAGATTTTGTACTTTAACGATATTCTTCAACTAAACTGCAAGTTAGTTTTATAAAGGTATGTTTCAGTTTTAAATGTGTTTCAGTAATAGGCATATTATTAGGATTTGAATTGAATAGGATTCGTTTTTATTCTTTTGAGGCTGTTTTTAAGCTTGGTTAGGGAGGGCACCAGGGCAGCAATTAGTCACAGTGTCATTCTTTGCTATGACCGAGGGAATATTATGCATATTCTATCGGATACCTTGTGAATTGTAAGGTAATCCGCTCTAGCCAGTAGGAACATGACTATTCTTTGCTCTGTATGTCCCCCCTGCTACTTTCAATTGTTCCTTTTCCCAGCCTTGGATAGTATCCTCACATAAAAGCATTGATCAGTACTCAGTACTTAGCTGAAGACTCAATCAGGGGTCTCTATAGATAATCCAGAGTTCTCTTCTGTCCACAGTCTTTCCTCTATAATACTCTGCCTTGTAAACTTGAGTGTCTTTAACTTCCCAACTCTATCTGTTCAAACAGGAAAACGTCCAGGTTATTTTAGGGTTTCTATTCCCCTTTAGTTATTCTAAGGAGCTCTGGTGGTGTAGCGGTTAAGCCACTTGGCTGTTAACCAGAAGGTTGGTGATTCGAACCCACCAGCCACTCTTCAAAAGAAAGATTAAGCAGTCTTCTTCTGGAAAGATTTACAGCCATTTAACACATTTAGGAGTCACTCTGAGTTGGAATCGACTCAGTGGCAATGAGTTTGTTTTTGGGTTTTTATTTACTCTTTCCAGAAGTAGTAATTTGGGGCAATAAACTTTGTTCCCCTCTTTTACGGATATCATTGCCTGCATTGTCTGATGTCCAGAGTCTGAAAACGCATTTCATATATTTTGTTCGGGTTTTTAGTGGTTAGACTGAAGAGTAAATCCAACCCTTATTATTCCATTTTTTTTTCCAGAAGCAGAAGTCAGATTTTTTTTATATATCATTATCCAGAAAAAATTATTTAAAATAATTTGTGCAGAAGTGTTGGTTTTATAGTTTATTTCCGTAATATGATTATTCACCACTGACATGTTTTATATTGTTTACCCAATCTTAGGAGAGTTTTAAGAATGATCAGAAGTTTTAAATCTTTCATCTTTTTGCACTGGAGAGAACCTTGCCATTTTCTGAGGATGGTCTTTTAGACATCACATGAAAAATATCAATGTTAAAAGAAAGAAAAGTTAAATTCTTTATTACAAAGCTTAGTGGGAACAAAAAAGCATACCTGCATGCTTTACTGTAACAGAAAGTTCTGAAAACTAGCTAACAGTGGTTGCTCTGGTAACAAAAGAAAACTCAAAACTATTAGTATTTTCTAGTGTGGGACTTAATACAGATTGAGGATTAAAGAAAGAAATTGGGAGGGAAAGGAATAAAATGATAGAGACAGAAGAAACAAGCCTTAGAACTCGTTAAAGAGCAAAGATTTTAAGAAAAATAGTTAGCTGTAGCCCACATCTTATTTCTGAATTCCATTCCCTACTAAAAGAAATCAAAGCTCCTTGAAGAAATGGCTGGTTCCGATGCTTAGCAGGAAAGGTATAAGGTGAGCCTCTTGCTATACCCGAAAGAAGTACTCAAAAAAAAAAAAAAGTAATATCATGTTAAAAGGACACATGAGTTAGTTTCAAGGGGCTCTCATTGGGGAAATCTGGTACAATATAAGGATCAAAGAAATAAAGAACAGTTGTGGTTGATAAATCCTGGTGGCCCTGTGGTTAAGTGCTCAGCTACTAACCAAAAAGTTGGCAGTTCCAACCCACCAGCCAAAAGGCCCTGGCAGTCTGCTCCTTTAAAGATTACAGCCTAGGAAATTTTATAGGGCAGTTCTGCTCTGTCACATGGGGTCACTAGGAGTCAAAGTTGACTCAACAGCACACAACAACAACATTGGATGTTAACCAGATAATTAAAACAAGAATTCATAAGTCCATACTGATAAATAGAAGGGAAGCTAAGTAAATAAATAATTGAGGAGAAAGGAAAGAACTTTGCATTGTGTCTGGCGACGTGTAAGGCATCATAGGTATAGAAATGAGCAAGAGATGGTTCTTACCCTTATTATTGACTATGAAGTTGAGAGGAGACAAGCAAATGAATAGGCAGTTTGTCCACTTGTTTTATTCCAACTAAAAATTAAACTTCTCGAGGATAAGATTTATGTCTTATGTATTAGTGTAGTATCTTATATAAATTAGTTGAATTATTATACACTCATAGGAGCTCTGGTAGCATAGTGCCTAAGGCACTTGACTGCTAACCAGAAGGCTGACAGTTCAAACCCACCAGCCACTCCTCGGAAGGAAGGTTGGGCAAT